TGAGAGGAGAAGAAGAAGAAGAAGAAGAAGAAGAAGAAGAAGAAGAAGAAGACGACAATGATGACAGAGTGTTATGTAGTCTTAGTCTTGAATTCCTGGTCCTCCTTGCCTTCCTCTCTCAAGCATACACCATAGTGCCTGGCTGTAATTAAAAGTATTTTTAAAATATCTACAGCTAATACATTACACAGTTGTGAATGGGTTCTGTGTTTCCTAACTAGTATCATGAGCAACCAATAATACCCACTGTTCCCTCACTGGCCTAGAGAGTCTTGCCAAAAAATAGCCTTTTAAAGCCGGGCAGTGGTGGTGCACACCTTTAATCCAGGCACTCAGGAGGTAGAGGCAGGCCATCTCTGTAAGTTTGAGGCCAGCCTGATCTACAGAGTGAGCACAAAGACAGCCAGGATTGTTACACAGAGAAACTTTGTCTTAAAAAAGAAAGTAGGTTTTTTAAAAAGGAATGAGGGTTGGGGATATAGCTCAGTGGTTAAGAGCCCTGGCTGCTCTTCCAGAGGACCCAGGTTCAATTCCCAGGACCCACATGGCAGCTCACAGCTGTCTGTAACTCCAGTTCCAGAGAGTCCATTACTTCATATAGATGGACATGAAGATAAAAACACCAATGCACATGAAATAAAAATAAATACTTTAAAGTAAAAAATAAGAAAAGAATAAGGTAAATAGATTGGAAAGTAAGAATTTCTTTTTATTCAATAGAACATGCAAAAAGGAAATAGAATCAATGAATAAGTTTAACAAGGTTGTAGGTTATAAGGTCACATACAAAAAGCTGTGTTCCCATATACTAGCAGTGAATAATTAATAATTTAAGCTTCTAAACAAATAATGATGATAATAATATATATACTAATGATAATAGTACTATATATCTCTTCTCTGGGAGTTCACCTGATACTCTTTTGCAGTATACTTCAATAAACCCTTTGTTCAAAAAGAAAATCTTGCCATTTTATAAGAATATAGACAACTTGAGAATAAGTTGAGCCCCCAGTGTCACCTAGTTGCAGGGCACTTGCCTGGCATGTGTAAAGCTCTAGATCCCATCAACACTGGGAGCAAAAATGAGGAGAGGTTAATAAATAAGATTTAAGAGCTCATTGAGAAACCAGGACTGTAGAAAACTATAGAAGACCTCACAGATGATGGTACAGACCTCCCTGTTTACAGCTGAGACAACTAGAGTATTATTAAAGTGATTCACCCAGGTTACTCTATAAATTAAATGAAATCCTAACTTTAAAAAAAATAGAGTTTTAAAAAAATGGCATGCTGTGGGCTGGAGAGATGGCTCAGAGGTTAAGAGCACTGACTGACTGCTCTTCCAGAGGTCCTGAGTTCAATACCCAGCAACCACATGGTGGCTCACAACTGGTATGAGACCTGGTGCCCTCTTCTGGTGTGCAGATATACATGGAAGCAGAATGGTATATACATAATAAATAAATAAAATCTTAAAAAAAAATGGCATGCTGCTCTGAAGACCACACTTAGTAGTAAGCTTGCCCAGGACAAGCAGGGCCAGGGCAGGGTCAGTGCCCTGACAATGCAAAAGAAAAATGGCCAACCCTGACTTGCATATGCAAAGACAGAGAGAGGGTTTAGGATCACCAATTAGATCTTGGTAAAGGGCAGTTTTGTGAGGCTTACTCACCTGACCTGTAGACTTCCATAAAGCTACTGTCACCAAGAGAGTAAATTATGAGCCATTCAGAAATTTCTCACAGAAAACTCCAACCACCTATCTATTATTTTTTGTTTGGGTAAATAAAGTTTTATTAAACAGAGTCATGTCTATTCATTTACATATAGCTGTTTTCATTGTGTGGCCACAAAGCTGGGCAGAGAAAGAGACTCTATAGCCCACAGAATAAAGAATATTTACTTCTGGCTTTTGTAGAAAAGGTTTTCTGAAATCTGCTGAAGATCAGTGGAACCATCTAGAAGCAGACCTACACAGATGCAAACAATTGATTTTTCTGAAAGTCTCAAGGCAGTCCAACAGTGAAGTGTTGTCATCAAATACTTCTGAAGAAACACTGCAGCTCTTTCTGAAGAAAAAGAAATCTTTAGTTTTGCATCATAGTATAGACAAAGAATGACTTTAAACTACAGAAAAAAGTTACTGTGAGAATGTCATAAAAGTAGATATACAAAACAGTAGTCTTCACAATTCAAAAGTGAACCTATGAATCGATGGTTAATTGATTTTCAACAAAACCGCCAAGGGATGGTCTTCAACAAATGGTGCTGAAGCAGTGGCATAGTCACATGTGAAAGATTTCATGGTGCTTCGACAGAAGAAGCTTAAGAAGGAAGAGGTTTATTTAGGTCGGCTTTGAGGCGTGCATCAGGAGCTGAGCACTGTCACATCGCACCGTGGTCAGGAACCAGAATGATGAGGTGCTGGTGCTCCGTTCACTTTCTCCTCTTGTTAAACCTGGAGCCTCAGCCCGAGGGAGGCTATAGTCATCGTCCATCTTAATTCAAAATGTGTAAAAAAAAAGTAAAATGTCAGACAACATGGCTTTGAAATAGGCAAAAGAAAACAAATAGTTCATCACCAAAGTGGACTCACCAGTGGCAAATGAGCAAATGAGCTTGTATACTTGTAGTTTAATAACTGTATAATCACCAGTTATTAAACTAACTCAAATTGAAGCCACCATGAGATTCACAAACATCAGAGTGGCTCAAGTCAAGCATACTTACAGTAGCAGGTGTTGACAGAGCAGTGAGAGCTCACACACGGTATTAGTCGTTCTGGGAAAGGTTGGTAGTTTCTTTGAAAGAGTTAAGCTCAACAATCTCACCCCTAATTATTACCCTGGACAAATGAAAGCTTACATTCGCACAAGAATCTGAACACAGATGCTTGTAGAAGTTCTGTCCATAGTAACGAAAGCCTGGGACTGGATGAGGAAGGAATGGCGCCATATCCACGTCACACACAACTGCAGTCGGTGAAATAATGGGCACCGACTCTTAGCATGGGTGCCAATGTGTATGACTTCACAGGCATGCTGTTGTTGTTTGCTGTTGTTGTTTTCTCAAAGCCATTTTATGTTCTCAAAATGACAAAGTGATACTCGTAGAAAAACTTGGGTAACAGTTGTAGGGTCTGTGGGAGGGACTGTAAAGCAAGAGCAGGAAGGCCTCCAGTGTGGCACAGCTTGTTCTGTGGCTGAGGAGTGGCTCCTGCAGGACTGTGTGCTCAATAGGTCTATTAACATAAAAAGCAAAATGAAAATGTAAATGAGGTGTAAATGAGTTTGCTGTGAGAGTTAGCTGCGAATCACATCTATGGGCCTGAGGCATGGCTCAGCAGTCAGGAGCACATGCTGCTCTTGTAGAGTTTGGTTCCCAGCACCCAAGTTCAGCTCCTCACAGCCGCCTCTAACTCGGACATTAGGGGAATCTGACACGGTCTTCTGGCCTCTGTGGGCACCTGCACTTGTGAACATAGACATACGCAGACACACAGAGATGGACAGATGGATGAACACACAGACATACACATGAAAAAATAAATCTTGAGGACTGGAGAGATAACTAAACCGCCAAAGGACCTGGGTTGATTCCCAGCATCCACATGGCAGTTCAGAACTGTCTATAACTCCAGTCTTAGGGATCCAATATCCTCTTCTGGCCTCTCTAGGCACCGCACATGTGCAAACACACAGACATACATACAGGCAGAACACCCATACACATAAAAACAAAGGTTAAAAAATTTTAATAGAATCTTACCTGGTTTACCTGGTACATAGTAAACAGTCAATAATGTTTAGCTGTTTTTATCAGTATTTCATGTTTAAGGAATATTGTCCTCCTTAAAGATTTAGTTAAATATAGTGCGAATGAGAACATTAAAAAGGAATTCTCACAGACAGGGAACACATTAGTGGTATGGAGCTACTGGCCAACTTAGAATAGACAGTAGAACTGAGGAGCAATCACGGGGAAAGGGTGGACTGGGAAACTAAGGCTGATTACCCAGGGTTTGGGGAGAAGGGGGCTACCAGGCCCCATTGGATCTGACACCTCCCATAACATTCCCAATATCAAGTGATAACATTTACGCTAAACCCCCCAAGTTCATAGCCACCTCATAGTGCAAAGTATATTTGGTCCAACTTAGAAGTCCTCACAGTCTTTCTGTTGTCGCAGTTTGCTGGGATGGAGTCAGGCTACGCATGCTTCTGTGGGAACAACCCTGACTACTGGAAGCACGGAGAGGCAGCCAGCACCGAGTGCAACAGTGTCTGCTTTGGGGACCACACACAGCCCTGTGGTGGGGACGGCAGGATTATCCTCTTTGACAGTGAGTATGTTGGTGCCACAGGCATGACTGGGGACAGCAAGCCTACCCACTCACACTTCCGTCTTTATTCATTTACTTCTCAGTACTTACAAAGCACCTGTCATGTGATGCCAACCATAGCTCAGCCCTTGGGACTGAAGCACAGTGATCATGTATAGTTATGAGTGCTGAGTAGTTTGACTATTGCGGGCATCTTTGCTGGTCATAGACTACCACTGCCAGCAGAGTATGATCATGGGAAGCAAGAAGTTAGTTTAGTTCTGCACTACTCATTTTAGCTGATGTTGGTTCAAACTTGGGGAGTCTGACCCCAAGGAGTTTATTTTAGGCATTTTTTAGCACAGCACAGTTTGGTGACAATTTTCCTGGTGGTAATTAACTCAGTCGCATGTGCACAATAAAGCTTAAAATGTAACTACATCAAAACTCTTTGTAAAGTACACGTGACATCTTCTGTAAAGATAGGTTCTGTAGATAGACAAGCTCATGATAAGGGTTTGGCCACACAGTCACCAGGCTATTAACCACATCCCCTCCAGCCTTCTGAGTGGATAACAGGTTATTGCATCCTTCCCTTAGAAGGAACAACCAAGTGCATTTAACTTTCCTTGTTCCCTTAGTGTTAATCTGGGAGCGCAGAGCCTCTGTGCCTCCCACAGGCTATCTTGGGGCTACTTTGACCAGTATAAAGATTCAGCTTTCAGCTCAGCACATACACTGGTGTTCTTGTAGAGCATCTGCTCTTGCATGCTCTTATTTTACAACAACCCCATTTGCCTTTGTAAGCATTGGGGCTTCATGCCTCAATAAGGTGCATCTAAGAAGATAACCTTGCAAATACTTCAAGTCATTTTGCCAGCCCTGTCTGTGCATTTGCCTGCACCACCACCTCTGCCCACCACAGTCGTGAGGTACCAGCAAGAGGCAAAGCTGTGCTGGGTCAAGTATGGATCTTGACCTCTCAACACTGCTCTTGTCATAATCCAAATACACTCAGTGGCAGACCTCATAAGAGTTATGGTACCTGATTTTAATACTCTACAAAGGGAAGTCTCAGATGAAAGGTGGAAGAGAGACCTGGAGCTTAGTGAGGGTAATTTAGCCCATCTCTAGGGTCTTTGATGGCTTGGGGACCAGGCATGCACTCCTAACATCTCAACTAGGCAGGGAGCTCCACTTTGAACAAAACCTTCACAAGACATAAAGCTGCCATAATGAAGTATCACAAATTATAGGGCTTAAATCAATAGGAACTTATTCTCTCACAGAAGATGGACGTGGGGGTGTCAAGATGTTAGCAGGCCATGCTCCTTCCCAAGGCTCCAGGAATTCTGACTAATACACAGAAGAGAAGCAACTTATGGCAGGAAAGGGTTTCTTCTGGCCCATGGCATCAGAGGGGTTTCAGGGCACTATAACAGGAGGGAGTGATGGAGTGGCTTTGGTTTGTGGCAGTACTGCATGCTGAAAACTGTTCATGTGTCAGTTGAGCAGAAGAGTGCCAGAACCAGCCACTGAATTATGACCTGCAAAGGCCCGCCTCTTGGAAGAATTGACATCTTCCATCTATGTCCATTCCATAGCTTCCCAACCAGAGGAATGAGCAAAAACAGTTCAGACTCAAGTAACAACATTTACCTCAGGTTCCCCAAGTTCATAGCCATCTCACAATGCAAACTGCATTAAGTCCAACTGAGAAGTCCTCACAGTTTTTGTTTAAACCTGTGACTTTATTTTTTATTTTGCTTATGGGTGCTTTGTCTTCATGTTTGCCTGTACACACCACATGTATGCCTGATGTCCTGAGAGGCCAGATCCCCTGGAACTGGAGTTACAAATAGTCATGAGTAGCCATGTGGGTGCTAGAAATTGTACTCACGTCCACTAGCAGAACAGCCAGTGCTCTTAACCCTAACCCCCAGTCTTAACAACTCCAACTCTGTTCAGATGTCTAAAGTCTCTTCTGAAACATAGGCAAACTTTGAACTGTGACCCCTATAACACCAAAAGAAGTTATACACTCCCAAGGTATAGTGGCAGAGGTCATCATCTTCATTTCCAAGCAGCGGGAGCAGGAGAGCAGTGAGATTGGACCACAGCAAGTCCAAAGCCAGGCAGGGTGCTTACTAAGTCCTATTGCTGGCTGCTGCCATCAAAATACCTGTCATGATGTTGACTCTGACAGGCTTGGGCAGCCCTGCCCACATGATCCTGCTGCTTGTAGCACACATTCTCCCTCTTTGTCTGGCTTCACTCTTTGCTTTCAGCTCTTCTCAATAGACACCCCATGCTCCTGGTATGTCCCAAGGTCTCCACTGACATTTATACTTTACTCTCATGGTTTCACACATAGTCTGTCAGGGGCTTTCCTCAGGCAACCTGACACTGCTGCTTACAGCTTCCTGCACCTTCCTTAAAAATGTTGGTGTAGGGCTGGGGAGATGGCTCATTTGGGCATGGTGACACCTACTTGTCATCACAGCGCTAGGAGGCAGAGATAGGTCAATCCCTGGGACTCATTGACTAGCCAGCCTAGCCTACATGGCAAGCTCCTGTCTCAAGAAACAAGGTAGAAAACTCCTGAAGAACAACTCCTGAGGTGTCCTGACATGAATGTCAGTCAAACCATGACAGTAGTTCTTGCATTGGGCATACCGGCAAAACCAGTACCATATTACAATGCCGAGCTCTGCTGACAGCCTGTGCCGTCACCAGGCCTGCTTGGACTGTGGCTGCCTAGGCATATAAGCTGGGAAAACACTTCTCTAGTGTAAGATGGAGCATTCATTTAGGCAATTTTACATGAGGGGAGATGCAGCCAAGGTGTCCTGTTAGAGAAAGCTGAGTTATCTCTCCAGTCCCAACATTTGGTTCTTTTGGGTTTTTTTTTTTTTTTTTTTTCAAGACAGGGTTTCTCTGTGGCTCTGGAGGCTGTCCTGTAACTAGCTCTTGTATACCAGGCTGGTCTCGAACTCACAGAGATCCACCTGCCTCTGCTTCCCAAGTGCTGGGACTAAAGGCATGCACCACCAATGCCCGGCTCCTTTGCGTTTTTTGAGACAAAGCTGACCTCAAAATTCATGTAGTCAAGACTGGCCTTAAATTTCTAATCCTCCTGCCTCTGTCTTCTAAGTGCTAGAATTACAGTGTTGTAGTGCCACACCCAGTTCATTTGACTCTTATTGTGGTTTTCACGTCTCCTATGAGGTTTCTAGTCCATTGCAGTGTGCTGTCCTTCTTTTCACTATGAACTGTACTGCATTCATTATGTAGTCTCCTGTCTGATAGTTCCAACATCTGGGTCACTTGCGAATCTTGGTCTGTGAATTGCCTTATATCTTGGCAGTGAATCTTTCCCCATTTTGTCTTGCTTTTATGTGTGTACTATGGTGTTATTTAATGCCACACACTGCAGGTAGAATGTAGACGCTAAAGTAAACAGAATTTTCACTTGTGTGGCCTGCTTAGTTTGGGAACTAGGCTGGGGTCTGTCAGTAGCTGAGCTGGGTGTAGGTTGTTTTTCTGTCATTCCCTTCGGTGCCCTTCAGGCTCCCTCAAATCCCTGAAGTTGTGCTTAGTGTAGAGTAGTGGGGTTTTAGTGTCCTGTTCCATGCTCAGTCCTGAGCAGGACCTTTTGCATCCTGCCGTTGAGGGAGATAGCCTTTGTCTGTTACTTGGTGCTGCCTATGGGAAGGCATGGGGGTTGCTGGCTCCCCTGCCTATCTTTAGGTTAGGACATGCTACTAGCTACAGGAGCAAGGTGATATCAGGGGTTCACCACGCCCCCTTCCCCTGGCAGCCATACACCACTTTGGTCTTTTGTGGAACTTGGTAGAGAATCCTGTTCTCTCCCAAGGAGGCCTTAAGGTGACCCAGGGGCTGAGGTCTTTTGCTTTGGCTCTTCTCCCAGAAGCAGTGGGCCTTTACTTTGTTACTAAGAAAATAATCTCCTACTCCCTCCCCAGACACAAACATGCTTCACATCTGCTTCTCTCCAATGGCCCTGGGAGCAATGGGTTAACTGCCCTCTCCCAGCAACTGGAGGCTTTTCCTTCCTTTGAGAGGAGAGCCCAGGAAGTAGGAGGTGCTCCAGGCTGGCCCCTTAGCAGCAGCCTATTGCCTCCTGCACACCTGTGCCACCCAGGGGAACTCTGGCTGGCTGCTTGACACTGGTCCCTCCTGCCAACGCTAGGAGGCCTGTGCAGAAGAGCTTGCAAGTGAAAGCAAACACCACTGTATCTCAGGCTCTTAGTGTCCTCAGTGGAGAAGTCGGGCTGACACAGCCCCTAGGAACCTATTATGTTTTTAGCTGCAGCCATCTCACATGCTCTGTGGTGGCCACCTCTCCCCTGTGCTCTGGCACAGATGAACCCATTTCTGTGGCCTCATTCATACTTGTTAGTGTTAAATTTCCTTGGTTATTTGAGGTCTCAGCTTCTGATTTTGAGCTTTCTCATTACTAGGATGAGAAAGCAACTTGCTTTGTATGTTTTCCCCAGTGCTAGAGATCAACCCCAGGGACTTACACGCTAGTCAAGGGCACTACCACCAAGTTCTCATCATGTTTTGAGAGAAGGTCTTGAACTGACCATCCTCTGACCTTAGCCTCCTCAGTGTTTGGACTACAGTCCTACACCACCAGGGTCAGCAAAGCTGCATATTTTTATTGCTTTTCTGTGTGCTAAATAGAGAAGAACTCCCCTAAAGCCTGCTGGAGTTGTAGCTCTGTGGAAGAGTGCTTTCTGAGCATGATCAAGGCCCTAGATTCCATCCCAGCCCTGAAAAATAAACTTTCTTTTAAATCCTATTCCTACACTCCCTCCTGAAGTCTTTCATTTGCAAGGTCGTGATTATGTAAGACAGAAAGTGGTTGCGTCATCTTTCTAAAGACCTGTCAATCAAACCAAGTCCAGAGAAATCGTGGCTGACACAAAATGTGCCTAATACAGAGTATCATGAATCTGGGATCACCCTTGGGTGCTTTTGGGGATCCACCCCATGGCTACATGTGCTAGGCAAGTGTTCCCCTACAGAGCTATTCTTCCAATCCAGAACTCCTTGTGGATCTCTCACGCAAACACTGCGCCTCTGAAGTACTGGAGACCCTGAGGAGATGCAGAGCCCTTTCCTTTATGACTTCACTCTTCAAACCTCCTCCTCTACAGAGAGGTCCCAATGTTTTCTTGCACTTTATCTATCTCATGTCCTCTCACTGTCATAGGATACAGGAGCAGGTGGTGGCCCTAAACAGGAAACACAAAGAGAGGCTTGGGAATGAGGTGCAGCCCCTAGGATCACATGCTCTGATGCTCCTGAATCCAGACTGTCTGACTCCAGCCAGACCCCAGCCTAGGCTGCTCTTCTAAGCACTGACTGTAAGGTCTCCTGGGGGAAACCAAATATCTGTACAGTCATTCATTGAGGGTGTAAGTGATTCCTTTTGTGATTTGATCCTAAAACCCAAGATGGTCTGGTTTTGTAGCTGGAAACAATGTCTCTAATAGGATCACATTTCTTAGGAGTTTGTTTGTGCCCGAATTAGAGAGGAGCCCAAAGCTGAGCCTCAGCCACATTGTCTTCTCTCCTGCAGCTCTCGTGGGCGCCTGCGGTGGAAACTACTCAGCCATGGCAGCTGTGGTCTACTCCCCTGACTTCCCTGATACCTACGCCACTGGGCGAGTCTGCTACTGGACTATCCGGGTTCCAGGAGCCTCTCACATCCATTTCAACTTCACCTTATTTGATATCAGGGATTCTGCAGACATGGTGGAGCTGCTGGATGGCTACACCCACCGTGTCCTAGTCCGTTTCAATGGAAGGAACCGCCCACCTTTGTCCTTTAATGTCTCCCTGGATTTTGTCATTTTGTATTTCTTCTCTGATCGCATCAATCAGGCCCAGGGATTTGCTGTCTTATACCAAGGTAAGACATCCTTATCTCTGGGGACATAGGTACCTCGGCCTTTTCTTCCTCGCCAGGGTGTTCAAGGCTAAAGTGGTTCTTTAGAGGCAGACTTGGACCTACTGACTCAGCTGCAGATGATCTCAACATTGATTCATTCCCCATTTACCATCATACAACACCCCTCCTTCCAGTGCACAACACCCCTCCTTCCAGTGCACAACACTCCACCTTCCAGTGCACAACACTCCTCCTTCCAGTGCACAACTCCCCACCTTCCAGTGCACAACTCCCCACCTTCCAGTGCACAATACCCTACCTTCTAGTACACAATTGGTTTATATTTCAATTTTACTATTTTAATAGTTTTGTTTATTTTAGATTTTATTTATATCTATGTGAGTATATGCCACATATATGCGGGTGCTTTAGGGACCAGAAGAGGGCATCAGATCACCAGGAGCTAAAGGGTATAAGCAGGTAGTTATGAACTGCCTTTCATGGGTTCTGGGAACCAAACTCAGGTCCTCTGAAGAGCAGGCCATTGAACCATCTCTTCAGCCCAATTTTAGTAGTTTTAGCAACAGTTTTGTAGAGAATGGATAGATAAAAGATGGCTGTTAGAATTGGAAGGCTTCCAAGTGGTCACTTCATCCATCCTACTTCTTCTAAACATTCCAGGCAGTCCCACAGACTAATTTGCCATCTTTCCTCAGAGATGTACACTCTGCCCCTCTGAAAGGAACACATGTGTGCAGACATGAGCCTTTGTTAACCCCTAAAAAGCACAGGTATTGAACTGAACTGCTCAAAAAAAGTTAGGGTAGTGGAAATGGGACAGACTAGTAGAGTAGGTGGGATCAGGTCTGTCATAACGAGGAGGTAACAAAAGTAGAGAAACAAAAAAGCAGCTTCAGTGTCTAAGGAGACCAGTCTCATAACTAGAATCAGCAGTCTCTGTCTTCCGCCCCTGAAGAGCCAGGCCAGAGCCTGCCACGTCCTGCTCCACCACCAGGGAGACCAGCAGAGGAAACTGTGTAGACTTGAATCAGAAAAGGCCTCATCAACCAGTTGTGGCACCTACCTGTAACACCAGATCTTGGGTGGTAGAGGCTGGAAGGTTAGGAGTTCAGAGTCATCCTCAACTACATAGCTGGAGGCTAGCCTGGGCTATATGAGATCCTGTCTTAGAAAGAGGGAAGTGTGGAGGCGATGGTTCAGTGGCCAGGTGCAGGATGAGCATGAAGGGTAGAGTTCAGATCCTGGAGTGCACATAAATGCTGAGTGGGTGTGGTGGCCCACCCTAATGCCAGCCTTGTGGGGTAGAGATGGAATCCCCAGAACAGGCTGTCCACACTCGCTGTACTGGGGCACTCTGCATTTGTTTGAGACTCTGACTCATTGAGTAACACGGAAGGGTGTCTAAGGATGATTTCGAGCATCAGGCTTGTGCCTCCTCATGTACATGCATGTACATCCACACACATGCAAAGCATTCGGTCACACAGAGAAAGAAAAATAGAAAAGGCCTCAGGCCAGCCAGAGCAGCGCCCTCCTTCCTGCTGTCTTCCTTGGCTTTCTCTGGTTAATACTTTTGATCTTCTAGCCACCAAGGAAGAACCACCACAGGAGAGGCCTGCTGTCAACCAGACACTGGCGGAAGTGATCACCGAACAAGCCAACCTCAGCATCAGCGCTGCCCACTCTTCCAAAGTCCTCTATGTCATCACCACCAGCCCCAACCACCCACCACAGACCGTCCCAGGTAGCCATTCCTGGGCACCATCAGTTGGGGCCAGCGGCCACAGAGTGGAAGGTAGTTCTCTCAACACTTACAGAAACAAAGGCGCTTGTGGGTGCTTCTCCTTCAAACACAGGTTGGGATATTGGCTCTGTAACCTCTAGTCTGCATGGCCTTTGAGAGAAATACTCTTATCAACTTAGTTCTCTTCCAGAGATGGATTCTGTGTGCCTTTGACAACTATGATTAGCAGCTAAGCTGGTCTCTTCTTCATCATCATAAAAAAACAAGCATCATGCTAAGAGCATCTTTCTAGAGCCCCAGGGTAGATTTCCTCAAATACGTTGATTCAAAGGTGCATACAGGCTGGAGGATGGCTCAACCATAGAACATGCTCCAAAATGGAATGGAAAAGATAAAACCAACAGATACAGTATTCCTTCAGTGATGCCATGCACTGTTGTAAACACTGGACCATACATTGAACCAAATAAACTCCTGTCCTTCTTTTGTCTGGAGTCATGAGTCCAGTCTCTAAGTCGCAGGCAGCATAAGGCCAGATATCCCTCCTCTTCTGCAGAGTGAAATGCACATGGAATGCTAGGACATACTGTGCATGTTTTCCATGGGTTGCCAGTGGGAGGAAGGAAACCAGAAACACGATCAAAGGTCAGGAGTGCTAATAACTATGAAGAGATGCCATGCAGGAGAGACCATGGGCCATGATCTTCCATGGTTACGCTAGTGTAGTTGGCTACAGATGTCCTTCCCTGCTTTTCTGTTGAGGATATGGCCCCTGAATGAGCTGGGGCACTGAAGAGGACTGCCATCTATAAATTGGTCTTAAGGTTTTTACAGTGCTCCCTGGCCTCTGTAGATCTCACCATAAAAGGTCAGGGAAGGAGGCCTCTCCAGCCCCACCTTATTTGACTGTGGATTCCTCTTCATTGCTCAAATGAGAAAACTAGGATCCAAAGACTTCTAGGTAACTGACTGATGGGTGCTAGTGGCAGACAGATTAGTCACATCCCTTTTGACTCCCAGTCTGGTGTTTGGAACTTACCAGAGGGAGTTTCAGAACACGGCAAAGTCAAAAGGAAGTCCCATGCTCAGCAGAGCTCCAATTACTACCACTGCCAGGTTTGGTGGCTGCGCCCACCTGCAGGGTCCACAGGGCCAGATCTGCACCCCTGACCTGCCCATCTCCTTTGGAAACTGAAAACAAACTCATCTGGTAAGCTCTCTTTGCACTTGCAGGATGGACCGTATATGGCCTAGCAACCCTCCTCATCCTCACAGTCACAGCCATCGTTGCAAAGATCCTTCTGCATGTCACATTTAAGTGAGTACAAGAGAAAGGGGGTTGGGGGCTCAGCAGTTCTTTCCTCTGACATTTTTTCATTTGTCTGGGTACAGTTGTAAACAGAGCGTGACTCCAAAGGCTGGGTCCCAGGCTGCCTCTTCCTCTTCCTGCCAAGAGAAACAGACAACAAGACAAAAAATTCTGAGGTGCAGGCATCCTATGTCCCATAGATTGAGTTTCAGGAAGGGTTGAAACCATTCTGGCATAGGAAACAGCAATTGTCTGCTTCGGGGCTTGTGCTGTTCCCTTGAAGAGGTTTGTATTGAAGTCAAGCTTCCTAGGACAGTACTGTGCATTTTTCTCAATGCCTCTAGAAACTAAGAAAGTCTTATGAAGAGAATTTCAACATTTCAACTATAGCTTAATAATTTTTATTAATTTATTCTTTGGCAGTTCTGTACATGCATATAACATATTCTGCTCACAGTCACCCATGCCTCTCTTCTCCCCCTCCTACTCCCATCACCCCACCAAGCAGCCCTCCCACTCACAGGCCTTTCTGTTTTATTTCTGTTTTTACTTTGTGGCCCACTGGGCTCAGGTAGAGCTGCCCACATGGGCATGTTTGTAGTGCTGTTCACTGAAGCGTAAACAGCTCACCAGTGGCCACGCCCCTGGAGACAGTGACTTCCCTCCTCCAACAGCCCTTGACTGCCTTAGCTCTCCCAGGTGAGGCTGTGACCCATGAGCCCCTCTCTCCCTTACCTGTGACTAAATGTTTAGGTTTCAGTCTTATACAGCTGCCATGAATTCCTGAGTGCCAAAGCCATGTCATACCCATGAGACAGAATGTCCTGTCACCTGGCTCTTGTGTTATTCCCTCCTTTTTCCATGGTGACCTTTGGGGGGGTCTGTGTGCCCTGTTGGTGTCTGGGTCTCTGTGGGCCTGGATATGCCCAAACTCTATTTTTGGTAACCTGTAAGTACACCCATCACCCTAGAAATTATTTCTGAACATTTATTTAAGCCAAGCACTTGTAATCCTAGCTACTTAGAAAGACGAAGCAGGAGAATTATGACCAAGGCCAATGTGAACAGCTTATCAGGACCCTATCTCTGCTAGGTACAGTAGCTCGTGCCTGTGATCTCAGCACTCAGTAGGCAGAGACAGGAGCATTGCAGCAAGCTTGAGGCCAAACTTTTCTAGATGATAAATACCAGGCCAGCCTGGACTACAAAGTAACACTGTCTCAAATAAAACAAAAAGCAAAACCTGTCTTCATTATTTTTTTAAACTTAAAAAACTTTATCATTGCTGGGTATTGGTGGAGCACACCTTTAGTCCCAGCACTTGGGAGGCAGAGGCAAGTGGATCTTTGTGAGCTCAAGGCCAGTCTGGTCTACAGAATGAGTTCCAGGATAGGCTCCAAAGCAATACAGAGAAACCCTGTCTTGAAAAACAAAGCAAAAACAACAACAACAACAACAAGCTTTACCAATTAGTTCTAGCAAAACTGAAGAAAGAAAGTTGTTCCCTGTATGCTCTACCTTCCAGGATAGTGCTGTTTGTGTGTTGTAGAGTTCTTACTTTCTCTAGACTCCAGTTGTCTTTTCTCTGGTTCCCACTTAAAGGCCTTCCTGAACTCTGAGTTCTGGTAGGAGCCTCCTTTTCTGGCCTCAGTTGCCCTTGCTGCAAATGTTTACACATGGAAGCCAGCTGTGGCCAGACTAGTGACCTTATCCATCTCCTCTCTGAACTATGAAATAATGTTCCTACTGTTGTCAGCTGAGCTCACTTTCAGACAGTCAGACAGACAGACACACACACACACACACACACACACACACACACACACACACACACACACACAGAAAGAGTGAGATGTAGGGAGGGTTCTTATATTGATATCTGTTGAGAATTAGTTTCAGAACACCGTGTAGATGCCAAATCTTGAGGTTTTTTTGTTTTGTTTTGTTTTTTTTCGAGACAGGGTTTCTCTGTGGCTTTGGAGGCTGTCCTGGAACTAGCTCTTGTAGACCAGGTGGGTCTCGAACTCATAGAGATCCACCTGCCTCTGCTTCCCGAGTGCTGGGATTAAAGGCGTGCGCCACCAATGCCCGGCGTCAAATCTTGAGTTTTCTTAAGCCTCTTATATAAAATGATGTAGGAGTGAACGTGACTCATGTCTTCCTATACAGTCTACACTCCAGAGCGTCTCCGCACTGCTTCTCCCAGGCAGTGTACACTCCAGTGCATCTCAGATTGCTCACAGTATCTAACAGTGGCATTGCAAAGTAGTTGTTAGTAAATAATGAAAAGGAGTAAAGTCTGGATGTGCCAACCCAGATTAAACTTTTTTTCAAGGATTTTCACCTGTGGTTGGCTGCCCTCACTTGTAGTGGTCTTGCAGTGAACTTACAATAGTGGCCACACCCCTTGGGTGTGGCCTCAGGCAGATGGAAGTGGAAAGAGGGAAGTTTGAGGTGTGGCTTTCCCTGGGGCTTCCTTTCTGTCAGGTCAGCTGATCCTGTAGGAAGGGCAGAGAAGTGTTCCATGGTTCTTTGTATTTTTCTGTGTAATTGTTCCCCAATAAACACCCATTTATCATTTATCTTGGGTCTAGTGAAATAATTACATCCTTACCTTCACTCACTGATGTAGAACCTGCACAGTCAGAGGACCTACTAAGTGTGTTAAATGTCATAATTGGCATTCTAGGAAGTCTCTCAGGGCTAAGTCCTGTCTGTGTGTTTCTGCAATAGCTACAGGCTCAGTGTCTCAGCAAGGCTGAAGCTCTAAAGCACGTACCTCACTCCTCTAACACTGGACCCCTCCACGGTCTCCCTGCCTGTCAGGAGAAGGGTAGGCTAGGAATAGGGCTGTAAGTCAGGGCTCCCTGCTTCACGCTGAGGATGTCCCCCTTAGTCTGTTTAAGGTAAACAGGCTTCTAGGAAAGTGGCATTTGTAGATAGCATTCTTTTATTGGGGTGGGGGGAGAAGAAGAAAAGGGATATTTGAAAATTCAGAATCTCTCAAACACCCTTTTCCAACTTTGAATTATTTTGACAGAAAGTCCCTTGTCACCATGAGGAGACTGCCCTGCCTTGATGCCCATGCCCACAGGCCACATTTCATCCTTAACCCTTGTTTTGTTTTGTTTTGTTTTGTTGAGACAGGGTTTCTCTGTGTACCCCTGGCTGTCCTGAAACTCACTCTGTAGACCAGGCAGACCTTGAACTCACAGAGATCCACCTGTCCCTTCTTACTGAGCTGGGATTAAAGGCGTGTACCACCATGCCCAGCTTCACCCTTAACTCTTTAAGGCAGCCAGCATCCTTCCCAAGGTCATGCCTCACAGGTACAGGTGCCTTGGGAGGTGGTGATCTGAATGCTTTGTTCAGATCTACTTGAACAATTAGTTTCATTTGACAGGTCTCATCGTGTTCCTGCTTCTGGAGACCTTAGGGACTGTCGTCAACCAGGGGCTTCTGGGGAGATCTGGACCATTTTCTATGAACCTTCCACTACAATCTCCATCTTTAAGAAGAAGCTCAAGGGCCAGAGCCAACAAGATGACCGGAATCCCCTCGTGAGTGACTAAAACCTCACCGAACCCAGACAGGAGGCTCCTCTCTGAGCTCAAGGCTGCTGGGGTCCCTTCCCCCATAGCCTCTCCATTCACCTAAAGTCTCATGGGGCCACCCTTCTGCAGACTTGGAAGGGGCACCCTGTTGCCAGGGCATAGTAGCCTGGAGTCCTCCTCCATCACTTGCACTTAAGCTATGCCCAGCCTGCAACTCTGTCCCCACTGGGATTGCTAAAACTGGGCTGAGCTGATAGGACACAGCTGGGCCTGATTCTAGACGACCATTGGGTGGTGGGTAGTTTAGTGTGTGATGAGTTTTTCTTGCTTCTTCTCTATTTTATCCACGTATGGATCGGTTTCCCCTGGTCTTTACACGTTGGAACTGAGCCAGACTGAAGAAATTCTCGGGTTTTCTTGAAGGCTGGCCTAGTTCCCTGCCAAGTGTGGTCTCCTGGAGTTAGCACCTAAAAGTGGACAGAGACCCAGTGCTCTGTACTGGCCCTGTAACTTTCTCTCTGATTCCGACTAAGATGTGCCTCATCTAGTCGGAGGGGACTGAGAACAGGGTCACAGTAGATGTCTTCTTTCTAGAGGATTCACTGACCTGCAGGACAAGCCTGAGGATTGAGCATAAAAAGTCCATCTGTTTGTCCATGGAGCAGACACTGTAAACTTCCTGTATACTAGACTTACCTAGCCTGCCCCAAACAGTTCACAGTCCTGTGGAATCTGAGCTCAGCCAACTCCTAGTTCAGAACCAGGAGTTTAAAGGATATAGCATAGTGTTGGGGCTGTAGCTCAGTGCTAGAGAGCCACCTTGCACACATGAGGCCCTAGGGTCAATGCCAGTACTGCCAAAAGAGGGAGAAAGACTGTAGGCAGCATCCCATTATAAGACAGCAGACATGTGGTGCCTGCAGGGGGTGTCTATCATTTTAAAAGAAGATCAAAACTGCCAAAAGCTATGTCCTTTGTCCCTTATAATGGGGACACAGTAGTTAAGAATAAGGGCTCTTGTCCTGCCCCATCACTTTGTCCTGTAGACAGGCACGCAGACTACAGAAGTTGGCAAAAGGAAAAGGCAGGGCTTGGGAACTGGAGATCTTCCCAGGAGAGGCTGGAAGATTGAGGGTCCCAGCTGCAGTGGCTGCCAGGCATGAAAGGAAGGGCCATCCCTGATGGAGAAGTCCGGCAGTCTGGAAGTGGCCTTTGTCAGTAGCAGCCAAGAGGAACAGCCTATGCCCTGAAGGTGGACCTTGGTCAGCGTGTGGCTCTCCTGCCAGCACTTGTGCTTGTGGGCCTCTGATCTTCTGGGTACCCTCATAGAGCACTATGCTTACCTCCCCTGCATCTCTAAGCCACTGTCACTGAAGCCTTTTGTAGGGTTCGGGTAACCCATCAGTAGCTGGCTGCTCCCAGGACAGAAGACTGACTATATGGGACCATTGGGGAGCATCCTCAGGGAGAAGCAGTGACCAGAGCTGATAGGAGGAGGAAAACCGTGTCTCTATAGTGGGCCAGGGGTGCTGGCCAGCTCCTGTTGGAGGCAGGTGGGGGTGCAGAGCTGCTGCGGGTCATCTTCACTTTGATCTGGGAAAGCTGCAGGTCTTGGGTCTGAAGACAGACTCACCACACACAGACCACTGGAAACAGACCAACAGGAGCAGGTTCCACTCCAGGCTGTTCCTAATGCTTGTGGGATCCCCTCTGAAAGCAAGTGAGTCACAGAGCACCATGTACATGGCACAAAGAGGATGTAGGCTCTCCTAGGGAAGGTTCAGCTGGCCAGGACATTTGTTTAGCTCTGATCACTGGCCCCAGGCTTCCTTCAGGCCACTACTCATGGGCCTCTTCACATCTCAAACACAGGAAGCCATACCCCAGTGGTGGCAGCTACAACTCAGCTGCCCTTTATTGGCTTCCCCAGGAAGGACAAGGGACGTGCCCACACTCCTTTTGCTGCTGGCCTGGGCACAGCCCAGCATTCCAGCACCCACTTCCTCTCTGGGGAGCAGTCCCAGGAAACACCAACCCACCTTACAACAGCGTGAGGCAGTGTAAAGGGCTTAAATCACCCAGGCCAAACCTCCAAAAATGACAGCCACAGTCCATTAGAGCCTGCCAGTGGCATGTGTACCAGTTGGCTGGTACACACTGAGGTGGGTGGTCCTGAGAGCTGAGTGTTCTGGGGGAGGGGGCTTTTGAGTTGAGGAGGGTGGAGGTTGCCTGAGGAGAACAGCAACACAAAAGACTATGCATGACCTTGGAGACATTAGGTGTAGGCACAGGCGCCTGTGTTCTTCCCCACTGGTCTCACTGCTTAGAAAGTAGAGACAGTAGAAAGAAGCCTGTGTCTCCCCCACATCAGCAAGGATGGGGCTGAGGCCGCCTGGAGAGAGCAAGACTTCTCAAAATGTGGGCTCCGGCTTCAGGCCTCAGCCAAAAGCTCCCAAAGATCAAAGCTTTGGCAGGTACAGCTGTTGTGGCTCCTGAGCCAGACCATGGGATGTGCCTGGGCCAGATGCCACCCCATGTCCCAGTGTCAGCCCAGGCAGGACCCCACCTGACCCTCCTCATCAGCCGCTGGTCTGACACCAGCAGAGCTTGCAGAGCTGTTGCCAACCCCCAGGGACAGTCCATCCTTAACCTTCAAAAGCACTTAGAGCGGATGGCCTCCCAGACTCTGTCCACCTATCTGCAGGACCCAGACTAGGTCTCCCAGACCAGCTCCTCGCTCCACAGTTCTCCATGGTTACCTCCGGGGCTCCTCTGGGGTTTGGAATCTCCTGCTTGGTGTTTGACATCTGCTTCGGGTACTGCCTGGGGAACTGTTAACCCTTCCCGTGCCTTTGTTTACTGTCCTCACCCTACCTCCAGGCCACTTTCAGCCTAGCTGCTCTGGTATGAGTGTGGGGAGACTTGTCAGACCTGCCAGCCACACCCCACCCTGTCTGCCAACAGAACCTGGGGGCTTCACACAGGCTCTTGTCTTGCCATGTTGGAGCTGAGCACACTGGCTGAGGCTGGGGGAGGGTGAGGGGGGCAGGAGACAGTGGGAGGTGTCAGAGGGACATATGCAAGGAATCCTTTCCTGCCTGCACAGGGAGCTGCCATCCCTGCCGCCCTCGTGGCACCAAGACCTTCCATTTCCAAACTCACCCTCCAGCAGGGATCTGACTTTGGACAACAACGCTTTATTTGTAAATATGCTCTTAATATGCAACTTTGAGAATAAAATAGAAACATCGTGTATTTTAAAATATAAAATGAAGTGTGACACACTGTATACAATTTAATATATATTTTTAGGATTTTGTTATTTAAGAAAATGGAATGTGATGGTACTTAACTTTTACAAAAGAGAGAAAAATGTTATTTTTACTGTTTGAAGAAAATAAATATTCTCATTGTTGTAGAAACAGTGGTGGGCCCTAGGCTGTCATTTTTACAGGGGCGTCCCAGGAGTCGGACCCACAGCAAAGTATGCAGTGCTGGGACTCTGCCCTCCCAGGAACTGGGCCTGGCATTGGCTGGCTTTCTCTGGGTTTCACAGTCTTGGGTTTCACTGTCCTGTCATTGCTTGACCACAGCTGAGGCATAGTGGGCTAGCTGTAAAGACTAATACTCCAGGTCAGCTCTACACACAGTATAACTGCCTCAACCTACTCTCGGTGGAAACAGCCATCGCCCAGACAATGGAAGCCTGATGGAGAGACTGTGTAACTATCCCCAGAAGAACAGGGTTGGCCTCCCAAAGTAATCCATGCTTCTCTCCCCTCCTCTGGCCCATTCTCTCTGTTACTGGTTTGGTTTTTTTTTTTAGATAAGGTCTATCTCTGCTGCGCTGCCCAGGTTGGCCTCAAACTCCTAGGTTAGCACGTTCCTCCATCTCAGCCTCCCCAGTAACTGGACTACTGTGCCCTTTTTCAACCCTCCCTTAAGTAAAGCAACCCTTTGCCATGGTTCCTCATGTGCCAACGAGGAAAAGAAGTCTCGGTGAGGCAGCATGAATTGGTAGTTGGAGCACAGAATCGTAGACAGCTGGCCAGGGTTCAGATTCTTCTATCCTTCAGCTTGGGACCAGGAAGAGTTCAAAGGAGGACTTCGAAGAGCTCTGGCCAGTGACATCAGACTCCCAGCTTAGAAAGAACTCCTCTTTTCATCCAGAAAAGTCAAATTAGAGACCAAGTGCAGGCTGACCACAAGAAGATGAAGATACATATCTGGATAAAAGGTGTCAGGGCCTGAGGAGGCCACACCTTAGCACCAAGGCAGGAAAGGCTGACCATGCCCAAAGTCAGGATACATGCTTAGGCCCGAGAGCTCAGGTTACATCCAAACCCCTCTTAGCATGGAGCTTCTGTGCCTAGTACATTGGGTTGTGCTGTGCGTATCATTACTGCTGCACATCATTAGTTAAATAGTAGCTGTTGCTTTTATTCTAGAATATACCTAGGGGTTAAGAAAACAGGTGTCTGAGATTGGTATCAGGGCAGGGAGAAGAGCCACACTGTCATAAGGATAGGTAGGTCACAGGTATTATAAAATCCTGATGAGTTTTATGTGGGCCGAGTCCAGGGATGTCAGTATGGGCCATCAAGGCAGGGCTATTGGGCATTCGAGAGGTGGCCTGAGACCTGGCAAGGCTCTGGTCTGAAGAGCATTTTTTGTGCTAATACCCTAATATCCTTGGGTCAGTGTAGGAAAGCTGCCAGGATGATGTTAAGATACTGAGGCAGGTAAGAGAACTACAAGGGAACTGAGACAGTGCAGGGCTTTCCCATAAAGCCTTCTGCCTATTGTGGTAGACTCTGCCTGATGGCTTGCTGCTCCTTACAGTCCCAGTTCTAGATTCTCAGGGTTTGATTTGGTTGGATTGAGTCTCCTTGGCCCAGTCAGATTTTTGGGGGGCACACGTCAGTCCAGCCAAAGAATCCCACCACCACTACCTAAGATGTGGACTGTTATCAGAGTTGTTTCCAGGACCCCTGACCAAAATGCAAGACTCTAGCCCAGTCCTAGACCTGTCGTATAAACTCCCCTGAGAAGTGCCCACCATGTTTGACCACTGCTTCATCCATTTGGGACCTTTTACTACAGTCAGTTCTGGAAGGAATTATCCACATAGCCAGCGGTGCAAATTGTAATCACCATTTTGTCTACCCACGGGATGGGGATTGCTTGTCTCTCAGCTGCAAAGACTTCCAGCCCCAGATGCATCACAGGACAGAGGAGTAGGGCAAGAAGATGCATGAGCAACACAGCAGGTGTTCCCAGAGGCTGCCCCAGGGGACACTTCTGCCATCCTTGTGGTGACCACACTGAAAGGCCAGCTCAACTGGAGTGTTTATCTTTTCTGAACTTTCCTCTGTTTTCCGAGACCCGCTGTCATTCCATAATGGAGAATTTGTGTAATGGCAGGAAATGGCTAGTGAGGACATGTGGAGCGCCCTTGCTGATAGATTTCAGACAGACTGGGCTGCAACAGAATAATACATAAATGAGACCAGAATGTACAACTGTCCTGCCCAAAGAACCCCCTTTGATTATGAGACAACAGGAAGAGACCCCCCCAAGCCCATTTGAATAGAGTTGGGGGCCACCTGACCTTGACCTGACGTGTCACCTATCCCACAGCCCCTGATCCATCACCAGGGTGGCTCCAGTTGCATCCTCTGTCCTTCAGTCAGAGGCTTTTCCCATGCAGGGAAAGGCCGTACAAAGGTGACCTTGTCTACAAGCTTGTGAGTCACATGGTCATATCCTCTCCCGAGTGGGCCATGTGTGTTGAAGCTGTAGGCAGACTCTAGGGCTCAGAGAACTGAGAAGCCTTTGTTCCTCCATGGCAGCGTTGGGTCTCCCCAGGGGTATGTTTTTGCTCAGCTGAAGGGGACACTTTGGGGATAGAGTATGTCAGCCTTAGAATATAGCAGCTTCAAGTACAGCAGCTCTTGCCTGCAGCCAGAGTCTTCATTTCTGCTCTCCAGCTGTTCTCAGAGCTACCAGGCCCCCACAGAACAGGCCTACACCTGCTACTGGCGGTGGTCAGTGGATTGGACATGGAAGCCCATGTCCAGGGTAAGGACGCCCTGAGAAATGAACCTGTCAGCTCTGTGGGGGCTGGGCTGGGGAATGGCATTCAGTAAGAAGGAAGGACTTTAGAAGAAAAGGAAGCTGAAGGCTGGAAGTCTTCAGGAGGACACAGAAAGGTCTAAATTGCACAGGCTTTTGCAGAAGCAAAGCTACAGAATCCTCTTCGCTCATGGCCTGAGTAGAGCAGCTACCACTGTTAGTTACAGGCATGAAACAAAGCATGGTCAGGGCCCACTGCTTCATGTGCTGATCGTGTGACTAGTAGTCAGACCTCCAGTTTAGCCAAATACAGGGGCAGCGTTTTAAGGGTTTGCAGAGCTGAGGGAAGCTGCAGGACATGCCAGGGCTAATCACAGTGGCACTGGTGACTCCAGTTCTCTACAGTGCTAACTGTGGCTCTGACGTTGTGCCAAGCACTTCACAGACATCACTAGATCCTTCTTCTTTTGTTTGTTTGTTTGGCATTTTATCACTGGTCAAGAGGACCTATAAGCTTGAGTTCTTTCAAAGGTCCCAACAAAGAGTACCCTTCAAGCCCAAGCCCCACAGCCATTAGAACAGCCATTTTCTGTTGACAAGTGTCCCATGAGGTCTGAAGTGGGAGGCCAAGGATCATCCATCCTACCTTGGAACTGTAGAAGACGACTATCATTTTCCTCAATCCTTA